CGCTGTGGGTCTCCATCGAGGCCTTGTTCCAGCGAACAAGGAGTCCCGCCGTCGCCCTCGGCGGAGTTCCACAACTTTGTCCCTGGGCAACCTCTCCGTCGACGCCACGCCCGGCCAGATGAAGCGCATCACTGATGCCCTCCGGGAGGTCGGTCACACCATCTCCCCTGCGCAGCTCGTGCTCAATCTCCTGCGTGGCCTCAACCCCCGCTTCGCCAACACCGCCGACATCATCTCCAACACGTCGCCGCTTCCCGACTTCAAGTCTGCCACCAACATGCTCCGCGTCAAGGAGCTCCGCCTTGGCACCGAGGACAAGGCGGCCTCGGCTTCAGCACTGGCCGCCTCCACCACCTCCTCCTGCACGTCGCCATCCTGCCAGCCCACCCTTCTGCGTCCACCAATCGTGGGGGCGGTGGCAAGGGCAAGGGTGGCAAGGGCAAGGGCGGCCGTGGTGGCAACGGCGGCGGTGGCAGTAGCGGCGGTGGGCGCCACCAGCAGCAAGGCGGCAGTTTTGGCGGGCGTCAGCCGGCCGGCCCCTGGGTTTGCTACAACCCTTGGGCTGCTCCGTGGCCTTCCCAAAGCAAGAAGAGCGAGGGGCGCCACTGCGCCTCCTCCACGAGCACACACCGCCTTGGCGCCTCATGATTCTCCATCGCCGGCGGTCCCCAACAGACGGGCCTCCGGCGGCACTGACTCGGCAAGCTTGATTGCCGCCCTCAACCAGATGGCGATCCAGTATGGTCTCGCACTGGGTCATGGACAATGGAGCGACATCTCACATGTCCTCCAATGACGGTATTTTACTTTCCCATCTCCGCCGCCACCGTCCTCCATTATGGTCGACAGCGGTCAATCAATTCCTATTCATCGTCGTGGCACTTCATTATTCAAATAGCTGATCGTCCTTTTCGCCTTGATAATGTTCTTGTCGCTCCCCAACTCACTCACGTAATCATGTATCTGCTCGACAGCCTTACTCGCGACAATAATCGCTTCCATTGAGTTTGACGCTTACGGTTTTTCTCTGTTAAGATCTGCAGACCAAGACGGTCCTTCTTCGCAATAGCAATGGGGATCTCTACACCATTCCACATCACATGCCACCTCGCCGCCATGTCGCCATCGCCTCCCCCGGAGTTATGGCACTCCCGCCTTGGTCATCCCCGCACTACCCGCCGTCAACACTCTAACTAAGCTATCACCTATCCATTGTAATAAAGCAACTTTCGCCACATTTGTCATGCTCGCCAACTTGGCAAGCACGCTTAGGTTGCCATTCGCTAGTTCGGTTTCTAGTACATCGCCTCCCTTTGAACTTGTTCACCGTGATGTCCGGACCTCTCCAGCTTTTGAGTATTTCGCTATAAATTTTATCTTGTCATAGTTGATGATTACACACATTATTGTTGGATCTTTCCTCTTCGCCATAAATCGAAGTTCATGAACATATTGTCGGTTTGTTGCTTACGCCACACACGCTTCAGCTTTTCTGTATACCGCTTTCAGGCGGATAATGGCACCGAAGTTCATCAACAATGCCACCGCTACCTTCCTAGCTAGCCGCGTCATCCTGCTTCGCACCTCGTGCCCCCACACTTCCGCCCAGAACGGCAAAGCTGAGCGGATGCTTCGCACACTGAACAATGCTGTTCGCACGCTTCTGTTTCATGCCGCCATGCCTCCATCCTATTGGGTCGAAGCTCTTTCCACCGCTGTGTTTCTAATCAACCGGCGGCCCTCATCGTCCATACATAATGGTATTCCCTATCATCTCCTTCACCGCAAAATGCCAGACTACTCCATCCTTCGAGTTTTCGGTTGCCTGTGCTATCCGAACCTTAGTGCCACGACTTCCCATAAACTGTCTCCTCGCTCAGCAGCGTGTGTTTTACTCGGTTACCCTCCTTCCCAGAAGGGCTACCGGTGTCTTGATCTTTCTACTCGCAAGATCATCATCTCTCGCCACGTTGTTTTTGATGAGACTCACTTTCCGCTTATGGCTTCCAAGCCCCAACCGGATTCTCTTGATTTTTTGATACAGGATATACTTCCCGCGCCTGCCCCGTCTACCTCAGACGTTCGGCACTCGCGGGCCTCGGTCTATGCCGCCGTCGCCTGCAGCAGACGATGCCGGCGACCCGCTCGGCCGATCCTCGCCATCCTGCAGCATGGTGCGCCTCAGCGCCCAGGCGCCCGGCGAACCCGCCTACCCCTCGGCTTCTCCCTACGTCGGCGGTGCCCCTCATGCGGTGATGGATCGGCAGCTGTTCGGCATCCACTACACTGTCGTCGCGTCGCGCCACCGACTCCTCAAATGAGCCGCCGGCGGCCCGATGGCAACCGCGGTGCCCTCGGCTCCATCTCCGCAGTAAATGGCGCTCAGTGCTCCAGCGCCTCTTGCGCTGGAGACACGTTCCCCGGACGGAGTTCATCGCCGCCGCCCATGCAATGTATATGGTTTCCACCGCCGACCTCCAACTCGCTTCTCGTGCCAGCAACACTGCGCGCTTCCATTGATGCTAATTGGGCGCGGCGATGACCGAAGAATACAAGGCGCTTGTGGACAATGGCACTGGCGTCTTGTTCCTCGACCGCCGTGCCAACGCTATCACCGGCAAGTGGGTCTTCAAGCACAAGTATAATCGACGGCTCTGCTCGCCATAAAGCCGATGGGTTGTTCGTGGCTTCTCGCAATGCAGATGCGGCATCGACTACGACGAGACGCGTTCAATCCGGTTGTCAAACCGCCACCATCCGGTCGCCCTCGATCCGCCGCCTCTCGCTCTGGCGATACATCACCGGACGTGAAGAACGCCTTTCTTCACGGCCATCTCAACGAGAATCTCTCATCGCCGGCAATGACCGCTTGGCCGTCGACCCGGCGGCTCCCGACCACGTCTGTCTCCTGCAAAAGTCCTTGTATGGACTCAAGCAGGCGCCCAGGGCGTGGCACCAGCGGTTCTCCGGCTTCATTCAGCGGTCCGGCTTCACTGCTTCGACCTCCGACACGTCCCTCTTTGTTTACAAAGCGGGTGCCGACATCGCCTTACTTGTCGCTTTTACGTCGACGACGACATCATTCTCGACAAATTTCGCCGACTCCGCTTCTTCGTCGCATCACCGAGCTCCTTCACTCCGAGTTCGCCATGACAGATCTCGGGGATCTTCATCACTTCCTCGGGATCTCAGTCACGCGTTCTGCTGACGGCCTCTTCTGTCGCGGCCAAAGATGCTGCTGTGGATCTGCTCCAACATACGCAAGCATGGCTGAGTGTCAATCCACGGCGACTCCTGTTGACACTCATGCCAAGCTTTCTGCTACAGACGGCGCACCGGTGGCGGATGTCACTCAGTACCGCAGCCTCGCCGGTGCGCTACAGTATCTCACGCTGACTCGTCCGGACCTCGCTTATGCAGTTCAGCAGGTTTGCCTCTTCATGCACGACCCGCGCGCGCCTCATCTTGCGATGCTCAAGCGTGTACTGCGGTACGTCAAGGGCACCCTCTCCACCGGGCTTCACATCGGCACAGGTAGCATCACCAGCTTGACCGCCTACTCCGATGCTGATTGGGCTGGTTGTCCCGACTCTCGGCGCTCCACTTCAGGCTACTGTGTCTTCCTCGGCGACAACTTAGTCTCTTGGTCCTCCAAACGACAAACTACGGTTTCTCGTTCGAGTGCGGAGGCTGAGTATCGTCTTTATTATGCATCACGTGGCGTATCGAGAGACTTGTTGGCTTCGCTGATTACTCCGAGCTCCACATACCCATCTCTTCGCGGCGACGATTGTCTCATCGCGACAATGTCGATCTTGTCTACATGACCGCCAATCCAGTTCATCATCGTCGCACGAAGCATATTGAGATAGATATTCACTTCGTCCGTGAGAAGGTTGCTTTGGGACAGGTTCGGGTGCTCCATGTTCCATCATCTCATCAGTTCGCGGACATTATGACCAAAGGGTTACCTGTACAGTTGTTCACTGACTTTAGGTCCAGTCTTTGTGTTCGTGACACTCCCGCTTAGACTGAGGGAGGGTGTTAGAATGTATTGTAACAGCCCATATTGGGCGTACGGCCCATTAGCCTTGTATATTGTAACCCTAGCCTATTAGGCTATATAATGAAGGTCACCCCCCCTTGATTAGGGTGTGCGGTGTTTCTCTACAGTTTGGCTTGAGGAATGCGTTGATGACATTCCAGTCCCCCATGAATGAGCTTCTTTGCCTTTTCCTACGCCACCCTATGCTAGTGTTTTTTTATGATATTTTGAACTACAACATGTCCCTCTCGAAACATCTGGGGCACATCCGTGTGGTATTCAGCACCCTGTGTGAGCATAACTTGTTCCTGAAGCACACCAAATGTTCATTTGCTAAGCGCTGGGTGGAGTACCTTGGCCACTTCATCTCCAAGGACGGCGTGGCCATGGATCCAGCCAAAATTGTTGCCATGCAGTCCTAGCTGACACCGTGGACCCACCGTGCTCTTCATGGCTTGCTTGGCCTCACAGGCTTCTACCGCTGCTTCATCAACAACTACGGCGTCATCACCGCGCCACGAACAACCCTCAAGCCCGTTGCCTTCCGGTGGACTGATGTGGTGACTACAGCCTTCGAGGCCTTCAAGGCGGCTCTCACCTCTTGACCAGTGCTGCAGTTGTTGGGCATCATGGCTCCGTTCATCATCGACTGCGATGCCTTGGGCACGGTTTTGGCGTGGTCTTGTCTGGTCGCCTTGTTCAGTCTGTCCATGGAGCCCCAGCCCGCCAAACTTGCCACCTACGAGCCGAGCTCATCGGCCTGGTGAAGGCTGTGCGGCACTATCTGGGCACGGCCAGTGGAGATAGAAGAATAGGTCCCTAATGCTTTCTCCCCAATTAGCACACTACAACAGAGCCTTTGAACCTTTTAGTCCTGAATAAGTTGTGTACCACAATATAGATGATACAGCTAGGCATACATCAAAGAAGTTTCTAATTCGTTATCACTTCTCAGATATGTGGAGACTTTATTGGGCCGGCGACGTTTTCTTACAAAAATAACGGCTGGCAATAGCAAAGAGAAAGCTAAAGCACAGAGACAAGCAGTAAATTCTATTTGCCAGGTAATATAGCAGTGTCTCACATAGTTTTATATGGTTGATTTTGTTGATTATATGATTAATGTGCATGTGTTACCAGGGTTCTGCTGCTGATATTATCAAGGTGGCTATGATTAGAGTTCATTCAGTAATTACCAACAGAACTAGGGCAACTGATTCCACAGATGAAGTTTCAAGGAAATTTTCAGAAATTGGTGGCCAGTGTCACCTTATTTTGCAGGTGTTTTAAGACTCTTGCATGATACTTATTTTCCTTTTGACTTTTTCTCCGCTTGGCTCTAAATATGGATGAATGTAACTACTTTTTTTTTTTTTTTTGTAGGTGCATGACGAGTTGGTATTGGAAGTTGTTCCATGCATGGTAGCACAGGCTGGAAGGCTGTTACAGATATGTATGGAAGAAGCAGCTTCACTATTGGGTATCACTTTTAATCTAAACTTGGGTGGTTGTCTTATGTTCAGTCCTTGAGAGCATCTTGAAAAGCTCTTTAAAATTACTTGGTAAACTAATAGTTATGCCAGGTGAACAAAATGAATAGGAAGTTCTATTTCTGCCTTTCTCCAATAGCTAGCTTCCTAAAACTCGAAACCTGGGTGGGAGGGGGTGGGGGAACCACGCAAAAACTGCGTTGAAGGGGGCACCGATAGCAAGCGCAGAACTTAGAAGCCTGGGAACAGGAACATGGGCACGTTCCCATGTTCCAACGGGAACATTTACATTCCCACGTTATAAAATAACATCCAAAGTTTCCGTTCCGCGTTCCTGTTCCCTCATGGGAACATGGCTGTGAGTTGAGGTGGGAGATTCACCAATTGCTTTAGTGTTGAAGGCCCTTTTTTTTCTCTCTCCCCAAAAAAAAAAAATAGGGAGTTGTTTTTAAGGAGCCCTTGGAGATGCTCTAACCAAGCGAAAACTGAAATTGTTGTTTGCTTTTATTTCAGTACCTTTGCGCACAAAAATAAAGGTGGGAAAAACTTGGGGTTCACTAGAACCCTTCTATCCTGAGCCTTGTTGACGCAAATGGTGAATGTCACTTGGATTAAGCTACATGGATGCCAATTTTTCGTGACATGCAAGGGCCTAGATGATGTTTCTGTAAGGCTGAACAAGTTCCAATATGCCTCCACTGGGACCATGGTAAACCCTACTCTTGTTTGATTCACCCCCTGCAGAGTTAATCTCTTGAAGCCTGCCTTTTAACACTATCGTTTCTTGTTCTGCATTGTCCATGTATTTAACTATTGATATGAAGCATGCCTTGAACCATATATCTGCGCGCAAATGCTATTCTTGTTTGGAAATTAGTTTACCTTTTCATCTTCACGATGGTCTCTTTGCAACTTCAAATGAATCAGGTGATTCTGTCTGGTGTTCCTCGGTAGAATCTTCACCATTGCTATGTATACACTGTCTTCTGTCATCGCTGATTGTATGTGAAATCAACGCAACAGTGACCAGCTCCATTACTGAGGATTTGCTATGGACTTGTGGTTATGATTGATGGTCCATGTGGCATGCCAGAAGCAATTATATATATATCTAGGCCTTTTGTATATCATATCACCAATAGATGCTGTCAAATGGCGTGCTGTCTTCTCTTGGAGGTGCATTTGGTTTGATGGATATCCTCATGGAAAAGCGATGTTTGGTTCGCGTACGAGTTGGATATAGATATAGATATAGATGTTGGTATCCCTGCCACCAAAAATTTGCTTGGCGAGTTCATCCATGTTTTGTAATCTGTCATTAATAAAAAAAATTAAGGATTATTAGTATGTTATATTGTTACTTAGTAATTATGATGGCAATATTATATTTGATAAGTGTGAATATGCATGTTTTGTATGCCAATTGGGTAATAGCGGTGTTAATTAACATATTTTACTTGTAATTAGTAATTATCATAACAAAATGAGTGTTAGTGCATATTTATTAGTGTATAATTGGTTGTTATTTTTTAAATAATATATAAACACCAGTTAAGTATTCTTATTCATCTAACAAACGAAAAAAATGGTTTACCCTATCCATCTAACCAAACAAGCAACATGGATAACCATATCTAGAAATTCAATCAATTGCTCGCCACATGTTCATTGACATCTAGACTGCTTGCTCATCCCACCATGGCATTGGCCGTCTTCTGTGCCAGCCTTGTGCGAGCATTGCTGCGTTGAGACCATGCCCATAGAGCCACACCAAGCACGCCTAGTCCTATGCCTTCTTAATTGAGCCCTGTGCATGTCTACACTCCTTGAGTAAACACTGCCGTTGGCCATTTTCTCCTTGTAGCTGCTAGTAATGGCCTAGCTCAACACAACAACCCCTTTATCCGATCCAGCCCCTTCTGCCTTTCTCCTGAATGATTGACACTACTTTCGTGATTCCACCTCACTCCCATCGTCCGCTGCTTGCGCCTCATGTCTTCTCTCCAACTTCGTGCCTTTGTCCGCGAGTCCGTGCTCAAGCCACAGAGGAGACGAAGACGGTATTCTAAATGAACCATTAATCCGTTGTGAGCTCAAGAACACCTCCCACTCATTCCCATTCTTGATTGTTCGTCCAAAGTGAAGTTAGGGAGAGATTTAGTATATTTGCTTAGTTAATTTCCATCTAGTGGCACTAGTTCATCGTTGGAGTAGCCATACTTTACTGTTATCTAATGCCACTTGTGCGATCTAACATTGTATAGGTTTGTGTGACCTTGCCAACTAGAATTGAGTCGGGGAGCTTCCACTAGTTCGGCACCTTAGGAACACCTTGCATAGGATCTTTGATAAGGTGCTTATGATAAATAGAAGTGGTTAGTCTTGGTTAGATCGAATAGTTTAACTCTACATTAAATTCGTCTAGCTAACATAATTAAGTTTAGAAAAGACTATTTACTTGTTGAATATCAAACAAGGGGTTACCTAAACCATTGGATTTGCACCTTGATAGTAGGTTTAACCCCTCGACCGATCCTCCTAATCTACTAGGAGCTCGGGAGCTACACATGTCATGTGCACACCCTACACTATCACACAATAATGATCCGGCCCCAATTTATAACCACTTGAGTATCACGACCATTGCTAAGAACGTTGGCATGCTCACACTTCAACTCATATAAACCCGTAATCCGTAAAGTGTCATGAAGGACCTCGATAATCTACTTTACAACCAAGATCGTATTTTCGATTAAGCAAATGCAAATCACATACATAGAGTTTGCAAAGTGAAAATAATATTACAAACCAAGTTCACAAATAAATAATACAATACTAATTTTCCAAATTCGATAAGTTATATTGACATAGTTTTGAAATGGTTACAAACCATAAGTTCAAATACAATGCTACCTCTAACAACATCCTCCAAGCAAATGCAAAATGAGATATATAGAATATTAGTTGAGCCCACCGACACCTTATTCACGACCCTCAACAAGGGCAAGAATAGCACTAAGATATAGCGGTTCACCCGCAACTAGGTGGAATAGAACCCCAGTACTCGAGTGTAATAAAAGAGACACCAAAGGAGATGCAAGGCTTTTATTGTGGAGAAAGCTTGATAATAAGACTTTAGCAAAGGGCTTACTAATATGAGGCCTTACTTTCAATATTTTAGTGATGAGAGTCTAACATAGGGGTATGTGAAGTCCCCGGATTAAGGGCGCGATAGTCCGCTAACCCCTCATTTGTCTCTCTGAATTAACCAAGGGCTCGGGGGCTACACCCATCGGGTGCCCTCGTGCACCCGCAAATTAGGGATGACTTGGTAGCCGGCGGATGGCCCCCCCCAAGGGAGTTTCCCATATCAGAAGGGCAAGCCAAGAAAGGCAAAGACCCCGCTCTGGCCGCCTTCGCTCGAGCCTCGGGGACTCCCGGGCCAAGGGGTGCCCTGGTAGAGCCATAGCCCATGCAATCGTCCCAACTCTAGGTGTGGGATAACACTGCGCCCTAGGCTAGGCGTGCTAGATACGGAATCACAGTGCCTAGAGCTTGACAGGCGCAGAAGCACCACATTGCTGTCCTGTTCCATAGCCATGAGGCATTGTCATCCACTCCCTCGGCAGTATCACGCTCGATGCATGACACGTCAGGATAAGAAACTCCCCGAAGCGCACGAAGTGGGTTGCTCCGGGCCTGCTTGGCATCCCCTCCGGTCAAAAGGAGAAGCCTGGTGTGCAAAGAAAGGTAGGAGAAGGCTGACCCAGAGAAGTGTAGGGTCAAGATGGTGGACTAGAGGGGAGGGTGAATAGTCATTTCTAAAAATTAATCGCACGGCTAACCGAAACAAATCCGAAATTAAATTATCGGTCTAGTCAAAACTACATCCCTCTGTGTAAATTCTCAAGCACCATATAAAGATTCTAATATGAGCAACTAAGGTGCCGGGCTAGGTAGAGCTTACCTAAACAATTCTATTTAGCCATGGTGAGGCGACAACAATGGTGCAGATGGCCAGGGAGGTCCCGTGGTTTGGGCAAGATGTTAATGCCGCGTGGCACGGCGCGTGTGCAGGTGGAGCCAGCGCATGGTGATCGCACATAGGTTGGGGTTCCAATTTGGGAGTGGTTTTGGGTTCACGATTGGTCCATGATCCCATTAACAAAGTTGCTATAGCCGTGATATGGTCCGAGGTTAGTTACAGGATCAAGTTTAAACGGGATTTGGTTTGGGAGATAAAGAGTGATCAACTTTGGTTTGTCGGTCTGTTATAGGATAGGGCTGAGATAAAAGGTTTAAGCTCTTTTGGGGAATTTTTAAACTATCAAAATAGTTTCTAATAGGGTCTAAATCACCCTAGGGTTGTTGTACAAGATTTAGACTATGAAATTGTAGAATAGTTCACAATCTTAGCTTAAAAATTTGGATGGAACAAGGTTGTCAAGACGGCATTGCCAACTATTTTGCAGACAGAATTATTTAGGTTCATTTTAGATTTCCATTATTTTCATGTAATCTTTGAGGCTTCCAAAATTGATATAATAAATGGTTTGTCCAATTTGAGTTGTATATCAAAGTGCATATCCTGAACTTGATTTGTTATTTGAAGAATTTTCAAAGTTTTTAATAGATTCTCAATTTAATAATTATCCAAAGATGCATTCTTGAATTTATTTTACTTAACCCAGGACTCAATTTCTTTCCTATCTCATGTAGGTTTGATATTATTTTGATTTTTATAGCAAAACTCAGAATCACACATCTCTACAAGCAAACTTAATTACTTAGTTTGATTTGTTCCTAAAGTTCAAAAAATCAACATCATTCTATTTAAACAATAGAAAATTATAAGAAACTTAATCAAGCAACCATTATAATGTAGAAATTATGGCAAGATAATTATAATGCTTATGCTTATGCACATGAAGTGACCTTGCTTAACACCTGGCTGTTACAGGAGAGGGCAGCATAACTGGATGTTGTGCTC